CTAGGCCTTCTTTTCTCTTCCCCTTGCCTAGCGCCTCCCGGGCTGAAAGCTGCGTGGCCGGTGTCCACGTGTGGCCTTCCGCGTGGTGCATCGGCCCGTGGCGTACATAAAGCACTGCTGGCTGCGGGAGGGGTGTGGTGACCTGCGCGGCTGCCACCGTCGCAGTGCGGGGCGGTGCAGGCCCTTCAGCCCTTGGTCCTGCCGGGGAGGCGTCAGTGGTGGTCTCGGGAGGGCCAGGCCCCTGCCGGGCCCCACTGCGTCAGTGCACCTGGGAGAAAAATAAAGCGCCCGGTTAGAAAAGACATTGTGTTCCCTCATTGTGTTTAAGGTCACGACCCTCTGGAGACTCTGATATTGGAATGAATCTAAAGTTGTGATTTGGATCAGTGGTCTCAAGTTTTAAAGTGCATATGATCATCTGGTGTTCCGGATAAATGCAGATTCTGATTCAGCAGGTTTGGGGCAAAGCCTAAAATTGCATTCCTGTGCTTTCCCCAAGTGCTACTGATATTACTGGTTCATAGACCGTGCTTCAGAGTAGCACATTCAAGTAGCAAGGGTTTAGATAACCAGTTTCTGACTACACAAATTCTGATTTGCACCTTGTACCCCTTCTTCACACAACACGCACCCTAGGTGCATGGTCCATTTTTCAGTTATTTGAGAAGGGTAGCAAAAAATTAGGAACAGTTGTCTGATCACATGCTTCAAGCACCCTTTTGGAAGTGAATATTGGGGGAGTGGGAGTAATCATATGTGTGGAATAAGATCATACAAATTCTCAAATGGTGGATATAAATTCCAGTTATGAATAGCAAAATCTTCATGTTGTGAATAACGTTTTAAATAGAAAACTATAGTATGGTGTCTTTTAGATTTAACAATAAAATGAAATGAGACTTCTGTTTCTTTGTATTTAAATTTTGTATTCTTTGCATTTTAAACTTGTAAAGTGCAGGAGGTTATACAGTGTACTCCTTAGATCAAGATTGGGCTCTGCCACTTCCTAGCCATTGTGACCTTTGGTAAATTAATATCTGTGCCTCGGTTTCTCATCTTTAAATAGGGGTAATAGGGATGATAACAAAAGGATCTCCTGAGATTATAGAGAAGATTACATTCATGTTCCCACATAAAGTCTTGCTACTCATCCCGAGGTTCAAGAACCAGCAGCACTGGCATCATCTGGGAGCTTGTTTGAAATGCAGAATCTCAGGCCTCACCTCTGACCTACATAATCAGACCTACATAATCAGAAGCTGCATCGTAACAAGATCCCAGGTGATTCCACTGCACCTGTTTGTATTTGAGAAGTGCTGATGTAAAGTCCTTGGCATGATGCTTAAACATGTCATAAGCAGTACAGGCCCCAGTGATTTTGTTTGAAAAGGCCACATGAACTGGGCATGGTAGTTCATGCCAGTAGTCCCAGCTACTCAGGAGGCTAAGTTAGGAGGATTGTTTGAGCCCAGGTGTTTGAGGCCAGCCTGAGCAACATAGCAAGACCATCTCAAAAAAAGCCAAAAAAAACCACGTGATTTCTTCATGGTGCATATGTGAAAAAAAAATCCAAAATAAAAAGAACTTTTCAAACCTTTACGGTCTCTACTCACAAGTGTGTGAGGTGATCAAGATGTCATGCTAATTTCAGCGACAGCCCCTACTCCCTAAGAGAGCACTATCCCTTGAGCAAAAGCCGTAACACTCATTCAGAATAGCGTCCTGGGTAATGGAGAGACCTCAACTTTCTGGAGTCTGTACCTTTAGCTTCTCTGCTTCCAGCTTGGTCTGCTGTTCCACCAATGGTTTTTTCCCTAGAATTTCCACAGTAGGCATCTGCTGGGTGTGTCATTTCATTTTCTTTTGTCTTGGAAAACAAGCAGATACAAAAAACAAACAAACCTGAAGACTGAGCAGAGAACATTACAGATCCAAAGCAAACAGATACCTATATTCAGACTTAGGTCATGTTTTATGACTATGATAGGGCTGAAATTTCCTTCTAGGACAGATAAGTTTCTCACATGAGTGGGCATCAGTATGACAGTGCTTACTATGCTTACTGTAACTGTCAGGTATATAACACAGCTTTATGTTATCCAAAATCCTACATCAGTCAGGGACTTCAGACTTCCCTAAAAATACAATTCTTGTTGAAGCTTTGTATAAGCAGCTATCCCAACAACCCCAAAGATTTAAGAATTGTTACTGAGACCAAGATGGCTTTAAAAGTTTTGTACTTTACATGATCAAAGACAGCCTAACCTCTTAGGGTTGTTGCTCAGAAGATTGAAAGCATTGATTCTAACAAACCTGCCTCTTCTCTTGGATTGGCTGGGAGTCTTTTAAAATTGTAACACAAGGCTTCTAGACCTCTGCTATCCTGTATGGTAGCTGTTAGCTACATATGGCTATGGAGACTTTGGAATAGCTAGTCCAAAATGAGATGACTGTAAGTATAAGAGTTTTGTTGGGTAAAATTGCTCTAGGCAGGAGTCAGAAAATTTTTTGTAAAGGGCTAGGTAGTATTTTAGGCTTTGTGGACCACACAGGGTCCCTGTCACATTTTTCTCCCTTTTTAAATAGTCTCTTTAAAATGTAAAAACTGTTCTTAGCTCACAAGCTGTATGAAAACCATCTGTAGGACAGGTTTGACCTGAGAGCCATAGATTGCTAGACTTTAATCTCAGTGGAGCAGCTAGTCTGAGACTTTTAATATTCTGAAGAAAAAACATAAAGCTTTAAGATTATAAACATTTGGGCAGTCAGCATCTTGATTTCCTCCAGGAAATACTTACTTTTTTTTCTTATACATTATAAATTGTTCTTCAAAGTTGAGTGATGTAGAACTTTTCTTTCTCTCTTAGTCATCTGTCTATTTTAAGCATTCTTATGAAGACTGGCTAGAAAACAACGGATTGAGCATCTCCCCGTTCCACATAAGATGGCAAACTGCTGTTTTCAATCGTGCCTTTTACAGTTGGGGACGGCGGAAAGCAAGGATGCTGTATCAGTGGTATTCTTTTTTGTTTTAAGTTAATCATTGTCATGAGAAATAGCTTAATAAATTAACTACTTTCATCATTTTTCAGTCTACTGAGTCTTAAAATACTGACAGTATTAAAACCTACTGATTTTATATAAACTTATGGAATTGTATGATTTGGGTTTGCATGCATTAAAAGTCAAGATATTTATGGTATTTTCTGGTTAAGGGGTTTACGATGATCTCTGGGACACCCAAGATACTAACATATTCTGTAAGAGAATGAGAGGGTAGAGCGGGGCAGCCTGGTCTGAATTCCATTTTTGTTAAAAATTTAATTCAAAATGGGTCAGAACTAAAAGTAAACAACCAGATCATCAAAGAGCAGAAAATGCAACAGCAAATCAAAGCATACAAAGTAGAAAGAAGGAAATAACAAAGATAAGCATAGAAATTAGTAAGATAGAAAACATACAGTAGAGAAAATCAGCAAAGCCAAGAGTTGGTTCTTTGAAAAGATTGATAAACTACTACCATGACTGATAAAGAAAACAAGAAGCAAGTAATTCAAACTCAGAATTGAAAAGGGGACAATACAACAGATTCTATAGACATTGAAAGCATAATAATGTGGAGCCAGGCATGGTGGCTCATGCCTTTAATCCCAGCACTTTGGGAGACTGACACGAGAGGACTGCCGGAACCCATGGGTTCAGGACCAGCCTGGGCAACATGGCTAGACCTCGTCTCTACAATAAAAAAAAAGCATAATAATATGACTTTTATGAGAAATTCTGTGCCTATAAATTTGACAATTTAAATTAATTGGACAAGTTCTTTGAAAAACACAACTTGTCAAAGTTAGAAAACATAGCAGATTATCCAGATTATCCCCACTATACAAAAGTAGCTTCTGATAATTAAAACAGTAGAAGCTACCATTAAATTTTACCATGTTAATATTTAAGCTCCTTTATCACAAAGCTAAAATATGATGCAGACAATAGAATAGGTAGATGAAAACGGATGGATATCTATAATGTTAAAAGAGCATTCATAGCTATATTAGAATAAGGCCAAAACAATGTTATATAAATGAGCAAATTCATGAAAGCAAACAAACTTTATCATTGGGAATGATACTTAGCCTCTTTAGTTATCAAAGAATTGAAAATTATTAGAACTGCTTAAAGAAACCAGTGTCTATGCTTCGGTCAAATAATTGAAATTCAGCTAGAAAAAAGAGGCAGAGTTATTGAAATCTTTTACCCATTACTTTCAAACTATTAAATGTGGCTGGTCAGTGAATTTGCTACTCCATAAATTGTGAGAAATTGTTCATTTATGTGATTCTTTTTTCATCTCGACAGGTTCAATTTTGGAATGGTGTTTGGTGTAATAGCCATGTTTAGCTCATTTTTCCTCCTTGGAAAAACGTTGATGCAGACTTTGGCACAAATGATGGCTGACTCTCCCTCTTCTTATTCTTCCTCCTCTTCCTCCTCATCTTCCTCTTCCTCCTCTTCCTCATCCTCTTCCTCTCTTCACAATGAACAGGTGTTACAAGTTGTGGTAAGTGCTTTCTTTTCATTTTAAATAACTGTTGGAATAGAGAAACAAGATACTTCTTCTGATCTAGTATAACTTCTATATCCATAATATAAATATGAAAGCAAATTAAAAGTCTCAAAATTTTTCAAATTATCTGCTTAAGCAAAAAACATTAGCAGGGCATTATTGTAATATTTGGTGGTAGTAGTAGTAGTAGTAGTAGTAGTAGTAGTAGTGGTAGTAGTAGTAAAAGAGACCAAATGAACACTATCAAGACTTCAGCAATTACACAGATATTCAATCTAATTTGTGTTGTTTTCTTAAGATGTTAAATTATTTTCATGTTCAAGGAGTAAGCATGCTGATTGAAGATATCTCTAATGTAGAAATAAATTGTATTTTGATACTATGCAAAGTGTTTCCCTTTCCTCTTCCTGGTTTTCAGATTCTAACCAATAATATCTTTTTAATTAAAGATAAAAGACCTTTCTGAATGGTCACTTGGATTTCTTAATGTGAAAATAATATGCTGAGTGGTATTCTTTGTCTATAACCTATCTATAATTCTCACTTTAGAGCTCGTGTGTAGACCTACACCTTATGATTTCATGTCTCCAGAGTTTTAAGAGGCTTTACATTGGCTCACTTTTATTTTACATTTTTACGTTATTTCCCATTTCCATGAGTCATGGATATTATGTTTTTAATCAAGTTCTTATTAATGGAATAAACTTTTTTAAGGGTAACAGCTTTTTTTTTTTTTTTCATCTTTTTGTGACCTCTACGAGGCTGGGTCACTGGGGGGATTTAGAAGTCATTAGAAGAGAACAATAAAGAATCTTTCCTATGGTCATAACACTTTCTTAGAGGTTAAAAAGTTTCACCAGGTGAGTCCTTAGAAGAGATTATTTATTTCTTTTTTTTTTTTTTTGAGCCGGAGTCTCACTCTGTCGCCCAGACTGGAGTGCAGTGGCCATGCCCGGCCACCGCAGCCTCGAGCCGCTGGGCTCCGGCGATCCTTCCGCCTCAGCCTTCCAAGTAGCTGGAACTACAGGTGCGCACTACCACACCCACCTAAGTTTTTGATTTATTGTAGAGATGAGGTCTCGCCAAGTTGCCCAGGCAGGTCTCGAACCCGCAGGCTCAGGCAATTCACTCACCTCAGCCTTCCAAGGCGCAGGATTATAGGCTGAGCCACCGAGCCCGGCTGAGAGATTATTTATTTCTTCAGCAAACATTTACTGAGTGCTTTCTGCCTACTAGCCATGTGCTTGGTCCTGCTTTTTTGGAGAACAAAATCCAATCCTAGCACTAGGAGCTTTTAATTTAGAAGGAACACGTCTATGATTGTGCTACAACTGGACATTGTACCAGCTGCTGTGGGAACAGAGGGAAAGAGTACAATGTGTGCTTGACATTGAGAAGGCAATAAGGGGAAAGTTTCAAGAGAAGGATGAGGAGAGTCCACATAGCCTGGAAAGGAAGATGGAAATTGAGCATCTCAGTAATAGAAGGAACAATGCAATATGGAAAAGCAGAGGGAATAACCACAATAATAATAAAATCTAGTTAATATGCAGCACTTCCTATGTGAGGATTTTGTGCCCATTTTATTTTACTCTTGCAGAAATCCAAAGGTAAGTATTAGTGTTATCCCTGATTTACAGATGAGAATCAAGGCACAGAGACATTAAATCACTTACCTGTAGTCACAGCTAGTGACTAGTAGATCCATTATCATTCACCTTAGAGCCTATGTATATTATGCTCTACTCCTCTTAAAAAAGACAAATAATTATCCAAGGAACCATAAGTAATTTTCACCTGTGTCTACAAGACAAGAGAACAGGATAGTGAAGGAAATAAGATGGAAGATATAGGTGGGGTCTAGATTATGAATGGCCAGTCTAACAAGTTTTGATTTTACCTCTAGATAGCAAGTCTGTGCCACCTGGATGAAAGTCAGTTAGACTGGAGATGTGGAGACCAATTATGAGGAGTAATTTATGTTAGAAGTGATAAAGATCCAAACTAAAATAGTGGCAAGGAGAATGAAGGGGATAGATTCAAGTGATCTTTTGAAGTGGAGTTCTCAGACCTTGATGATTAATTGAATGTGAGGCTAGAGGGCGAAGGAGAGTTTCAGGTTACACAACTGGTTATTGTTTGCCAAGAAGGAGGATAGGAGAGAAAGAAGCTGGTTGGAGGAAATACTATTACTGGCCTATCTGCCTGCTAGAATTAAAGTGGCAAAATGTTGTTTAGATAAGAAATTATTCCTTCTCTTTGCCTCTCAGTTTGTTCATAGTGTTCACAAAAATATCAACTCTATTAGGAAACTGTGCTTCAGAATTATTAAGAAGTTGGCTGTCCTCTGTAGTCTACCATGCATATTTATGTATAAAATTAAGAATGTTGTCTCCCAACTTTGATACGAGCTCTTGTAGGTTAGAGAATATACTTTGTGTTTGCTTTATAATTCCCTACAGCCTTGTTCAGTATTAATTCCCTAAACCCTGGCACTCTGTATTGTTTAGAGTATTCTGTATTCAGTTTTCTGGTACATCTAATACCCTGTGTGAATCATGGCAGAGACAGATGGGCATTCGTGTGCTATTGCCAGCAAATAAGACCTACCATCTGTTGGTTTAGTCTTACGCTCAAATTCTTACCTTATCTCACTCATTATTACATCCAGAAAATAATAAATAGAAGGAACAAATATCCTATTGAATCAAGCTTACTGATTTATTTGAAATAAAGGTAAGGTAACCAAGATGTTTTGTAATTTAGATAGTATGTATGACAATCTTAAGTACATAAATTTAGACGAGTCAGAGAAAACTACTGAACAGATGCCTGACAACTTAGGAATGGAATAGATATATAGAAAAAGTGACAATGATGTTCTTAAAAAATTGCTCATTAGGTTCTGAGTAAAGAGAATTTCCGATAATAAGCATCGTAAGCATTCATAAGCATGTCCTTATCCTGTGACCCTTTACTTCCACATCTGGGACTCCAGCCTAAGGAAACACTTCCAAATATAGAAGAAACAGTATTCATCAAGTCCTTTAACCTAACCATTACTTATTACTATGAGGAATTAGAAGCAATCAAAATATCTAATTGAAGAGTGATCAAATTATTAGATTGTTATTCATATATTAAAATGATGATTATAAAATCTAGTTTCAGGCCAAGTGTGGTAGCTCATGCCTATAATCCCAGCATGTTGGGAGGCCAAGGTGAGAGAATTGCCTGAGCACGCGGGTTCAAGATCAGCCTTGGCAACTTGGTGAGACCTCATCTCTATAATAAATAAAAAAATTAGACGGGCATCATGGCACATTCCTGTAGTTCCAGCTACTTGGAAGACAGAGGCGGAAGGATCGCTTGAGCCCAGCAGGTTGAGCCTGTGGTGGCTGGGAGTGTGCCACTGTCCTCCAGCCTGGGTGACAGAGTAAGACTCCAACTCAAAGAAAAAAAAAGGAAAAAAAAAACTAGTTTCATAGCTAGGAAAAGGAAACTTGGAATTAATGGAATTTAGAAAATAATCTAAGCGTTTGAATCTTCAGTTATTAAAAGAGACTAAAGTGAGATTCCTCTGTTGTACACAAAAATATAGCTGAATTAAAATCAAAACTTAAAATCATAAAAGACTTTGAAAGAAAAAAAAAAAACCCAAGTTGTTTGTTTTTGAGTTGGAGTTTCACTCTGTTACCCAAGCTGGAGTGTAGTGGAGTGCTCGTTGCTCACCACAGTCTTGACCTGCTGGGCTCAGGCAATCCTTCCGCCTCAGCCTTCCAAGTAGCTGGAACTACAAGCACATGCCACCACGCCTGGTTAATTTTTTGGTTTATTGTAGAGACAGGATCTCACCAAGTTGCCCAGACTGGTCTCGAATCCCTGGGCTCAGGTAATCCTCTGGCCTTCTCCTCCCAAAGTGCTGGGATTACAGGCGTGAGCCACTGTGCCTGGCCCAGGTTATGAACACAAAATGAGGAAGACAGAAATCTAAAACTAGTGGTAGAAAACACGAATACTTTTTATATAATAGTAGCGTCTTTTTAAAAAGACTTTATTTTTTTTAGAACAGTTTTAAGTTCACAGCAAAATTAACAGGAAGGAACAGGGATATCCCATATACAGTTGATAAACCTACATAAACATGTCATTACCACCCATAGTTTATATTGGGGTTCTGTTCTGGTGGTATGTGAATACTAATAGATTTGACTACCTAAATTTTGTTATATATCAAAAATTAAAAGCAAAATTAAATTAAAAGGCAGGCATAAAGGGGAATACATTTGTGCCATGTATTACAAAGGACCAATACTGATATATGAAGTGATCTTCAGTAAGAAAAAGGTGAGCACTTTAGGAGAAAAAAGTCAGGTCATGAGTAAGCAACTCACAGAAGACCAAAAAATGGTCAAAAGTAGGGGGAGAGTTCAGTTTTAATAGCGATCAGAGAAATGTAAATCAAATTGTAGATTTGAATTAAATGCGTTTGCCCAAGGTTATGAAAGGTTCTGCTTTTAGAGAGCAGTTTGATAATATGTATCAAAATCCTTTAAATTTTGTGTAATAGCATGTTGTCCCCTCTTTGAGGAATAATGTCAGACATTGGACAAAGATGGGCTTGTTTAGTCCTTAAAATTACCCTTTTATGCAAATATCATTATTTCCTTTTAATGCTGAGGAAATTGAAGTGTTGGAGGAATAATGCCAACCTCCCCAAGGTCATTTAGCTAATTGGAGACAGGACCTCAAACCTAAGTAATATATCTCCAGTGCCTGAGCCCGTAACAACTATGCTTATCTAAAAATTTATTACACCAAAATATTTGGGTATATGTATTCAAATATCTTTATCACATTATTCATAAGAGCATAAATTTTTAAAACAAACACCCAGCAATCCATTCCTTAGAATACTATGTAACTATTAAAAATCATATTGACAGAGTGAGACTCCAACTCAAAAAAAAGTCATACTGAGCATGGCATGGTGACTCACGCCCATAATCCCAACACTTTGAGAGGCAGAGGTGAGGGGATTGCCTGAGCCCAGGGGTTTAAGACCAGCCTGGGCAACTTAGCAAGACGTCATCTCTACAATAAAGTTTTAAAAAGCCAGTCATGGTGGTGTGTGCCTATAGTATGGCTACTTGGAAGGCTGAGGCAGAAAGATTGCCTGACCCCAGTAGGTTGAGGATGTGGTAGCTATAAGTGTGCCACTGCACTCTAGCCTGGGTGATTTTGACTTAAAAGTAAAACAAACATATCGAACCAGAAAATACTCATGGGAAGATGTCTGTGATATGGTTAAGTGATAGGACAGGTTTCTTTTTTTTTTTTTTTTTGAGTTGGAGTCTCACTCTGTCGCCCAGACTGGAGTGCAGTGGCCGCTCTCGGCCACCACAGCCTCGCCTGCTGGGCTCTGGCGATCCTTCCGCCTCAGCCTTCCAAGTAGCCGGAATTACAGGCATGCACTACCACGCCCGACTGATTTTTTGATTGATTGTAGAGATGAGGTCTCGCTGCCCAGGCGGGTCTCGAACCCGCGGGCTCAGGCAATCCACTCACCTCAGCCTCCCAAAGGCGTGGGATTACAGGCTGAGTCACCGAGCTAAAGTAAAACTTTTAAAAATATGTGTGCATGAAAAGACTGGAAGGGCATATATCAAAACATTGAGAATTTTTTTTGTTGTTTTATGCTAGGGAAACAGAATTATAGGCTTCAATTTTCCTTTGAGTTTTCTAATTTTTCTACTTTAAACATTTTACAATGAATATAAAATAATAATTATAAAAGAAAAAGGGATTTCTTCCAGAAGTATACTCTTTGGGTCCCAACTGCTGGACTGTGAGGAATAGATGCTCAGTATGTAATTGTATTCATGAGCCTGATGTGCCCCACTTAGCCTAATTTATAGAGTCTCCCTTTAACAGATAACATAAACTTGGGAGCAATTATTTATCTTATGAGAACATATCTTTGCTATCTAAAAAAATTTACTGAAGCTGGGCTTGGTGGCTCAGCCTGTAATCCCGCGCCTTTGGGAGGCTGAGGTGAGTGGATTGCCTGAGCCCACGGGTTCGAGACCCGCCTGGGCAGCGAGACCTCATCTCTACAATAAATCAAAAAATCAGCCGGGTGTGGTAGCGCATACCTGTAATTCTGACTACTTGGAAGGCTGAGGCGGAAGGATCGCCGGAGCCCGGCAGGTTGAGGCTGTGGTGGACGGGAGCGGCCACTGCACTCCAGTCTGGGCGACAGAGTGAGACTCCAACTCAAAAAAAAAAAAAAAATTTTACTGAGCAGCTCTTACCATAGCAAACTTCCCTTGTGTATGCAATGATATATACATGCACATTTTAGGATCACATAATTGCAAGACAACTTATGCTTCATGAGTTTATAACATGTGTGTTCCAAATGCCTTAATTTCTGCATCAGATTTCAATTTTAATATATATGTATCTCTTTGACACTATTTTTCTAGCCACTGTAATGGACAAAGTGACAAAATAGAAGGAGTGAGGGATATGATGCTCCACACTGAGCAGGCACTTTTATTACACTAGCTTTCATCACTGACTCTCCTACAGCTTGAGAATATGGAGGAGGGTCCCATATTAATCAACATAAGTACCTGGAAACTTATAGTAACAATTCAGAGAAGGACTAGGAATTTTAACAAGAATTCCCAAATTGGACAGTCAGCCCTTGAGGGTATATCAGCTGCTGTCTCCTTCACTATGACCCCGCGTTCCCTGGCACTCTCTTGGGCTCCCTCTTCCTTTCCCACGGTGAAGAGTTCAGGAAGCTAAAGTTTCAACTATTTAACCTGGTGTTTCTTATTCTCTTTGGATTGAAGTTTTGATTGTTTCAGAGAAACTACGTAGTTCGAAAAACTGGTGTTTTTGCTTTTAATTATGATAGAAATAGAAAAGTGGACCATTGATAGTCATATTACTTTTAGTTTATAGAACATTCAGCTTGGAGGTTTAAGCTTTAATACAGAATGAACATCATGTATCTTGGTGCCCAAGTGGGGGTCCCCTGCACCCTCACTGATAATTACTGCCATATTGTGTCTATGAACAGGTTCCTGGTATAAATTTACCCGTCAATCAACTGACCTATTTCTTCGCTGCAGTTCTCATTAGTGGTGTTGTACATGAAATTGGCCATGGGATAGCAGCTATTAGGTAATGATATTTACCTTTTTCTTTCTACTACATGTAAAAAAGCTTTTATTTAGGAGTTTATTACTAAAATCTGCTATATTTGATACTTCACTATTTTTCTGTCTGTTGATATTGCCCAGTACATGTCTATCACTTGTACTTTGAGGTAGCTTCTCTTTTATAAGGAAGATTAATATATTGATGAATATGCCCAATTAGCCATGTGCATATCTGTAATTTGAGTCTATCCTTAGCTTTGGTTATATTATGGTACTTCAAAGTTCTTTTTAATCCAATCCTGAAAGTTAATATTTCTATTCATTATTGGGTCGGAATGATAACCACTGCACTCAGAACTCAGTTACTTTAGAACTTTCTTTGGTTTATCAGCAGAAATAATTCCTTACTTCTGCTTATGTCCTCTGCTGGCTAGAAAAATAAAACTGAAAACACTGGATTTAACAAGTATCATAGCCTGTCTAGAAATCCAAGTGGCAGATAGATAAGAAGAGAGTAAGACCTGGGATTTGCTTTGAGTATCATGCCCAGTTATTGGTCTCTACTACCCAAATATATAATTAAACCTGTGCATTTAAAAGCCTACTCAACTAATAAAATTGTGTTAGGGACAGTGTACATCACAACTCCCCATTACCCATGCTAATAATTACTATCATGATCCCCAAGCATGCTGTCCGGAATGTGTTTTACCCTTTGGGTGTGTGGACCAGTGAAAAGGTTGTGAACCGCTATTTTAGAGAAGATGTGATCACTTTGTATTTCTTTTCAGTTGCTTATGAGCAAGAGTATATTGACTGGCAATAAATTCTCATCTTGACAGAGCATATACTGTTACACAGGTGTGCACAACAGTGCTTTAAAGGGGCAGCTACCTTTTTAAAAAAAGTATCTTTAACCTTTCCTTCCTTGTTTTTAGCTGTTCAGGCTTTAGGGTTTTACATATAGACATATCGTTATTAACATGTTAATAATATAAAGTATGTTTCTAAAATAACAGGTATTTTTTTAATCCCAAATGCCAAGAAAATAATAAAACAGTTGTCATATATGTATATTTACTATTAAGAGACAGCACAGTATATTTAGGTGATGCTTTTTTTAGAGTAGCTGTTTGGTCTTATGAGGCTTATATTAAGTTTAATATTCAGCCAGGCTTGGTGGCTCAGCCTGTAATCCCAGCACTTTGGGAGGCCAAGGTGAGTGGATTGCCTGAGCCCACGGGTTCGAGACCCGCCTGGGCAACTTGGTGAGACCTCATCTCTACAATAAAATCAAAAATTAGCCGGGCGTGGTAGCGTGCGCCTGTAGTTCCAGCTACTTGGAAGGCTGAGGCAGAAGGATCACCGGAGCCCAGCAGGTCGAGACTGCCATGGCTGGGAGTGGCCACTGCACTCCAGTCTGGGCGACAGAGTGAGACTCCAACTCAAAAAAAAAAAAAAAGTTTAATATTCATTTTTGGAAAATGAAGCAATTAAAAGTAATTCTCTTAAAGACAATCTGAGCATTATGCATTTTAAATGTACTTACTCAATATTAGCTTGATAGGAATATACTTAGATAAATGTCCTACCATTATTTATAATTGCTAAGAAAACAAATATTTCGATAATTTACTTGAAATATTGTTCTGTATCTTCTTTTGAAAATAATTCAAAGTAAATCATAAACATGTATTTAATTTAATTTCTCATAAAATTATTTACCATTTCTGTATATTGTGACTGGTGTCCATTATTGCTCAACATACTGGTTTCTAAAGATTTTGAAGCTATAAGTCTATTTCAGAATGCCCTATTTTACAAAATTCAGTTTCCCAAATAGCCAAATTTGTATACTATTACAAGATTATGATTTTATATATAGTATTGGTATAATTGTTTGACTTTTTGTTTCGTAAGCAAGAATTTGAATTACAGTAGGAAGTTTTAAGATTATATACATTATTAATTTGAGAAATGCAATAGCATTAGTAATTCTTTTTTCTTATGTGATTTCTTAGGGAACAAGTTCGATTTAATGGCTTTGGGATTTTTCTCTTCATTATATATCCTGGAGCATTTGTTGACCTGTTTACCACTCATTTGCAACTTATATCACCAGTTCAACAGCTAAGGATATTTTGTGCAGGTAACAGGCTTATTTTTTTTTTAAATGTTCGTCTGTGATTTTGGTTTTGGTTTTCTACGGTTAATGGTTTTATGAAAAATATACCACACATGACAATATCTTATCTTTTGGTTATTCAGTTAAGACTCCATCAAAAGTAGTACAGTAAAATAAGTTGCATTTCAGTTTCTTCTTTAAAACCAACTAAAAACAACATAAATTATGTACAATTTTTTTAAAAGGAGAAGAAAACCTCATTTTTACTGATGCTAAGAAATAGCCACAACCTGAAATCACAAACTATGAAGAATATCAACTCAGCCAAAATATAATGAAATTTGCATCAAATCAAGGAAGACACGAATAATTAACTAAGATAAATCAAGAGAATTCAAGACTGGAAAGAGATGGTGTGCGAGGATGCGTTGTCAGAGTTTGTTCAGAGAAACAGGATCACTTGGAGATATATAGCTATGTAGGGAAGAAATTTAGGGAAACAGTTCCATCTGAGTGAAATGTACATAAAACAAATGTACCATAACCCTTTTTCACTTCAAATGGAATAACTAAGGCTAGGCAAGTGTAGAATTAGGATTCTTGAACAGACTGTGATATAATAGAACTAACAGAATAATTGCAGGTGGGAAAAGTAAAAACAGGAAGTCTAAGTACTAATTTCCTCAACTTTATAGTTAACAGAAAGAATCTGCCTGAAGTTGATAAATTAAGAAGTAGCCAGGCATGGTGCCTCATGCCTGTAATCCCAGCACTTTGGGAAGTCAAGGTGGGAGTACTGTTTCAGCTCAGGAGTTTGAGACCATCCTGGGTAACATAGTGAGACTTTGTCTCTATTAAAAAAAAAAAAATCAAGCCGGGCTTGGTGGCTCAGTCTGTAATCCCGCGCCTTTGGGAGGCTGAGGTGAGTGGATTGCCTGAGCCCACGAGTTCGAGACCCGCCTCGGCAACTTGGTGAGACCTCATCTCTACAATAAATAAAAAAAAATCAGCCGGGCGTGGTAGCACGGACCTGTAATTACAGCCACTCGGAAGGCTGAGGCGGAAGGATCGCCAGAGCCCAGCACGCGAGGCTGCGGTGGCCGGGAGCGGCCACTGCACTCTAGTCTGGGCGACAGAGTGAGACTCCCACAAAAAAAATAAAATAAAATAAAATAAAAAAATTAGGCATGGTGGCATGTGCCTGTAGTCCTAGCTACTTGGGAGGCTAAGGCAGAAGGATTTTCTGAGACTGAGAGGTTGAGGCTAAAGTGAGCCAACTCAAGAGAGAGAGAGAGAGACTTGAATAGTATAGCACATAAGATAATAAATGTAAACACTACAAGATCTAAAAACACACATAGACCTTTCAAGTTATCAGAATGAAGGCCTAAAACACAGACCAAAGGAAACAGACTGTATATCAAAAGATAAACTAAGGTAACAAACTTAAGGCCAAAACACATCTATTTTAGTCAATAAATATGAGATAAGCTCACCTATTAAAAGAAAAATGCCCCTAATTTAGATTAAAAACATATCCCAAGCTTGTGATGTATAAAATAAGTCCATCTAAGAAATTAGTAAAAAACATTGAAAGAAAAATGATGAGCAGAACATACCATGTAAATGTGAACAAAAAATAAGACCAAAAGCATTGTTAGACATAGGGGACACTTAATAAGGAATATAAGCCACAATAGAAATGTAACAGTGAATCTTACTGTATCAAGTGACAAACCTTCAAAACAAAACAAAAATGGAAAAAGTACAAGGAGAAATAGAAATGTAATTAAAATGTTCATCTCTTAATACATGGCAGATAAGTATGAAAAAAGTCAGGCTATGGACGCTCTAATTAGTAAGGTAAAAATATATGTCTAACTCTATACCATGGACACAGAAGACAATTTCTTTTAAGGACCCACGGAACTGGTAAAAATTGACCATGTATTAGTCAAAGAAAGTCTCAATAAATTCCCAAGGTAAGAGTAGGACCCAAGCCGGGCTCGGTGGCTCAGCCTGTAATCCCGCGCCTTTGGGAGGCT